GCCTCAGCCTCTGGACTGTGGAGAGTGCCAGGACCCAGGACTCTCCTCCCCGCATCCCCTGCAGCTGGAACAGAGGTCATCGCGTTTACACTGATCTTGCTCCTTCGCCTTCCCCAGAGAGAATAATCACTTTCACATCTGCCTTCAGATGCAATGGCGAGGAGACAAAGGCATTTGGCCTTAAAAGACCTCCGTGTTTATTCTACCTCTTAAAAAACAGAGAGTGCTTGCAAGAGGGGGTCACAGCTGAGGTTGCTTTGCCCTGATGCGGTTGGCTGTGGGTCTGTCCATCCTCTCTGATCCTCTTTTCTCAAGCCCATCTTGGGTCCCAGGGGCTATGAGGAGGACCACCAGCCTGGCTGGATAGGCCACGAAGCTCTGCGGCTTTCTGAGAGCCTGCAGAGGCATCTGGCCTGGACACTGCTCTTAGGAGTCTGCTGGGCCTGCGTTTTTAGAGGAATCTCTTCCTGAAGCCTCGGGCAGGCCTGTGCTTGAGGGCTTACTACAGCTGTGGGTTTCTCAGCTGCTGCCTCTGGGTCATCACAGTTCATCCTGCAGGAGTCCCTGGGGCAGACAGGGCGGGAGACTTCACTCCTATTTCACAGGTTTGGAACCTGTGACAAGCCCAGCTGGGCGGCAGCAAAGCTGAGACTTTGGCTCAGGTTTCTCACTTCGGGGCCAGAGTCTGTCCACTGAATGACATCCGTGCCGGGTCAGGACAGCAAGGTGGCCATTCCTCCCTGGAATAGCTTTTGTCAGCAGCTTGGAGGGCTGCTAGATTCCAATATCACAGGCTTTCCTGTCTCAGAGACGTGCCTCTGTTGTGCTTTTGGCTCTGCCTGGGTGGCCGTGCTCTGGGATGAAGACCCCCTAGTCACAAGAAGCCAGGCACCTCCATGTCACGTCCAGAGCACCCTGTTCCTCCCCAGGTCCTGTGAAATTTTGTTTCTGGGCAGCTTAAAATGGCATCAGCCAGCACTCTGCTTGTTGGCTGTGTATTTCTGAGGTATCAAGTGAGCAGACGCCTCGCCTGCCTCCTAGCCAGGACCCAGCAGCGGCAAGTGGTGCTGTCAGAAGTCAGCTCTGATTTAACTTGGATTGTGAGACCCAGGACATGGCTGGCTGGTTGTCACAACGCACATTTTCACAGTAGTAAGCGGACACCATGTGCTCAGCTCTGTGCCAGGCCCTGGGAAAGCAAAGAGGACACTGACTGGGAGGGAGGTAGGGCTCTGTCCCACAGGCACTCACCATCCACGTGGGGACACCTGGCAGGACACAGGACAAGATAAATAGTAATTTAACCATCTACAGTCAGGATTGGCCACAAGCTGTTTCTAGAGTATCTGAATTTGAAAATGCTTGATATGAGCTTATCTTCATCATTAAACACATAAGCCTTTGTGGCAAAAAAGAAAAATGTGAGAGGGAGGTAGTAATTAAGTGCTAACTGAAGATTGTCCTGAATATTCCGAGAGGAACAGGGTGGTCACACTTCTCAGAGGAGGGCTGGAACTGTTGGATTAAAATAGTAGGTTTTTTAAGTCTCAGAATCCTTTCTTCAGATCACATTTTAGACTCATTTAGCATATAAAACAGGTATGGTAGCGGCTGGGCTGGTTGAAGGTGGTGGGCAGCCCAGGCTTGCCGCCTCTATTCCCTATTCCCACTGCCAGCGGCCTCCCATGGCCCCACCCAGGAAGCGCAGTGTTCTGATGAGGCCATGGCCCGTTATGTGGGCCCCACCAGCCACAGGGCACCCTAGGACTCTGCCAGCCTTCTCATACCATTATTTAAAGAACTGGACACACCCATCCTGGTAAATGGGATGGAGGGGGTCTGATTGTCTTAGAAGAGCGGTGCGGAGTGGAGTTGTTTGCTGACCCCTGTTGCCAGGTGGGAGAGGGTTCAACAGTACATTAGAGGCGTGCTCACTGTGTGCGGATGATCACATCCCCACGACGTAGTATGGGCCACCCTGGAACGGGGCTGTGTGCAGCCCCCCGTGGGGACACACAGAAAGTCAGGGTGACATCTGGTTAGCAGTTGAGCAGATGTCAGAAGGGAAGGGTGAGCCCCAGAGGGGCGAAAACGTGAAACAACGCACAGATAAGGCCAGGAGCCTGTCCTGCAGTCCAGGGAGCTGCTGACACCCCGTGAGCAGCGTGCAGGTGCCCAGGGTCACGGGGAGCGGCGGCAGGAATGGAAGGTAGCACACAAAGGTGTTTGGATTGATGTCACGGACAGTCGGGACAGGGCTCCTTGTTGAGGAAGGTTCTTCTGGTAGCGCTGAATAGCAAGACCAAGGAAATCTCAGGAACTAGTCTGAAACCTCCCAAGATTTGGGAGTGAAGGATCCGACCAGAGGGTGACAGTTGGAGTGCTTGCCTCAGCCCAGAAAGGATGTGGCTGGGTTGAGAAATTCCACTCTGGGTCACTCACACTAATGGAATGTCAGCAGCCACGAGGATAAGAAGCCAGCGTTGGTAGAAGTCACTGTACTGCCAGCTCAGCTTTTTTTGGCCACTTCTGTTCCAGGCACACGGTGTGGTCAGGGATGCAGGGAGCAGAAGCGGGAAGAGCCCTGGTAGAGAGGGGCTTGCTGAAGAGGAGATGTGTCTGGGGAGATTTGGGACCAGTAGAATGCTGCGGGGCTGGTCCTCCCAAGGAAATGTCCCATGAGCCATCCCCCAGTCGCCCTGCCCAGGGGCCTTTGCTGTTCTGGCTATAGACTCAGTGTAGACTGAGCGTGGATGTCCCCAGGAAAGGGCTTTTACTTACATCAACACCTACCCTTCCAGCCACAGGGCCCCCCTCCGCCCCCATGCTTCTCTCCCCTCCCCAAACTCCCAACCACATCCCACCCCACCCTCCTTTTCATCAAGCACCAGTCCTGGCAAGACCCCTTATCTGTTCTTCCCTTGCACTGAGTCTGATCCAAAAATACAGCACTGGATTCTCTGGGCAGTTTGTCATTTTCAGCCCTATCACCTTGAAGGCAGAAATTGTCTTCTACTTCATGTTCCTAAAGCAAAGGCTCCTAGTACTTGTGGAGCATTGGACCTTTTGAGCATCTGGGGAAGTGGAGTGGGGGTGGCTGGGCCTGTGTCCCCAGCAGCTCCCACTGGGGTACTGAGACCATGTTCCTGCCCGTGAGGAACACGCTTTCTGCCCTAGGGATGTTGTAGGCCAGCGGGACGATTCATTAGTGAATGTTCTAAGAAAGGCACAGGGCATCCTGGGAGTCTGGGAGGGCTTCCTGGGGGAGGTGGGTTGTAAAGTTGGGCTCTGGGGAATGGATGAAAGTGGAGAGGCGTGGCCATGTGGGGATGGGGGAGGACCCTGTGAGCAGGGGCAGAGGAGGCACATGGCATTTTTGAGGGAAAATGAGGAAGAAAAATAACACTTGCCCAGAATTTAAACCCTGTCCTCTGAAAAGAGGACCAGGGTAAACTTCATCATATTTATTTTCTACCAGCAAATCACAATCTGAGAAAAACATGGTGCGAGAAGAAAGGAATAGTGAGGCCATCAAAGTCCTTTGTGAGGCTGGAGGCCCAAGGCCCTGACTGAGGGGGAAGGTCAGAGGGGAGAGTGTCCAGATGGAGGCCTGGCCTCCCTATATGGGCCTGCCCCCTGCTGCAGCATCGGTCACGGGGACACACCCTCTCTCCGTGCGGAACTCAGCTTTCACAAGGGCCTGTGTGCCACCCTCAGGTGGTCCAGCAGAGCCACCAGGCAGCTGTCAAATTCAGGGCCTGACACATGTAGGTTTGCCCAACAGCAGTGCCGGGAATGAATGGGCCTCACTGCTCACCACCCAGTGAGAACCAGGAGTCCCAGCCTCATTTGACCCAGCGCCTCGGACAAGTTCTCTGCAGGCTGCCTGGATAGCTGGTGTGCGTCGGTGTGGCTGGCAGTCCCTGTGGTAAAAAGACGGCAGTAATTCCATAGTCGTTGGTAAATAGCCACTGCCTTGACCCCCCACCCCAGGACCCCAGACTCCTCAACCACTGAAGGTCTAGCACTTGGCACCACTGCCCATCTAGACCCCGCCCTGGCCCTGGCGAGCCAGCGTTCTGTTGGTCTCTGCTGTGAGCTGGGTGAAGGGAGGCAGCTATCAACCAGTCCTGTGGTCTTGCCTCCTGCGAGGACCAGCCCTGTCTTCCCAGCCCCTCTCAGGGCCACGTCCCCACCATTCTTACCCCAGAGGACTTCAGGTTTTGGGGTTGAAAGAGATTCTGAAGTTGCTGTCTCCCTTTGCACAGTAACTGTGTTCTTAAACGGTGACTGAATAGAACTGCATGTTGCTTTCATCCTGGTGAATGTATAAGGGTAACCGGCTATTTTAGGCTATTCACTGAAGAATCCTTTGATAATATAAAACCTGACTGTCCTCATGAATCCAGGGTCAGGAAACAAAGTTTGCAGTTCAATTTAGGAGATATTATTTGAGCACCTGTCATGTGCTAGCAAGGTGGGAGCAGAACTCTGCTCTTTCGTGACCTTTTCACAGTTCCTTGCTGAGCCTCATTCCTTGAGTCAGTTTCCTTCTGCGTCTCTCGTATACAAGGCCCCATCGCGGGCCTAGGGGCCGTGTAGGTGAAAAGATTGCCCTGTGTTCAATGAGGATGCTGCAGAGCTGAGGTTGAGGAGGGAAGGGGCAAAGAAAGCAAGACTGGTAACCACCCTAGACAGTGCTTCAGGGGGTGGGTGGGAGAGTACGTGATCAGGGGACAAATGTGTGAGCGATGTGGACACTGACCAGTGCAGAAGAGTACACGTGCTTTGGGAAAGAGGATGGAGAGACTGAGGCACAGAGCACATGATCCAGGGGTGCAGCCAAGGCTGCCCTGCTTGTGGGCATTCTCCCTTCTGAGGCTTGCAGATGTGGGCTGCTCTGAGGGGGCAGAATCCCTTGGCGTCCCACCCTGGGAGGAAAGCCAGAGGACAGGGGGCCCCCTCAGGGACGTTCTGACTGCTGCTCTCCCTCCCCACAGCCTGATGTTCACCAAAGTGAAGCTGGAGCAGGTACTGAAAGGCCCAGAGGAAGCCCTTGTGACCTGCAGACAGATGCTGCGGCTGTGGCAGACCCTGTACAGCTTCTCCCAGCTGGGGTGAGTGCCTGGTCACAGTTCCTCGGGTTGCCAGAGGGTGGAGGACAGAGCTGGGAGGCAGTGGTTGCCGCGGCAACAGCCCACAGCTGAGTGGTCACGATGCCTGGTGGGCAGGGGTGGTGAGAATGAACAAGAACGGGACCTAACCCTCCTGGGGCCTTTGACAGCCCTGGTCTAATTTTACCCTTTTGACGATCTTCTATGAAGGACATAAAGAAGCTGTTTAGGAAACTGAAGTTCAGAGGGGTAGGAAGGAAGAGAAATCATTGTTAAGCATCTGAGCCAGCTGCTAGGCCTGTTGTTTTATCTCACCCATCAGCTGCTTTTATCTTATTCACTATCAGATTTTATCCTTACCCCAGAGAGTAAACTGAGACTCAGAGACCTTATATGATTTGCCAGAGCCACTCACCTGTAAATGGTAGCAGTGGGGCTTGAACCTGGGTCTAGTGAGCTCCAGCCTGGGAAGCTGTCACTTCTTTCCTGGTTCCATTTGAAAGCTAGGAGAGAAGCAGGAGGAGGAAGCCAAGTTCCTGAGGGCCCTCTCTTCTCTCTACTTACCTACTGTTTCCACACATCCTGTCTCCTGCTCCCGTCCCCAGCCTGAGCTTGAGATTTTCCTGGGCCAGAGCGCAGCATCCTTGTCCAGGCTGAATCTGCCGAAAGTCTGCTCAAACTTCCTGGGATGCCTGGGCTCAGCCTGTGCAGCCCGGAGCAGACGTGGGCCTCCTGTGGGGCAGCGTACTGCCTCTCTCTGGTCCTCTGGTACCACCCCCTCCCCTTGCTGGGATTGCTGGCTGTGTCATCTCCCCAAGGCCTCCGGGGACCACACTCTCGTGGGTGTTTGCATTTTCACAGGGACTCTGGGAGCCCAGCAGCCTCTTATAATTCCCAGAGGAATGTCCCTAAAGGTGTGATTTACAGGGGAGGCCCCGAAGTCATCCTTCAGCCCTTTCTTTGCAGGCCTTTGGGCCTGGAAGATTCCAGGGCCCAGTGGGACCGGTGGGTGGAAACTGCGAGAAGGAGGCTCTGGGGTTGAGGGACTTTTCAGAAAGAAACTGGGGAACCACCTGGCAGCTGGGTGATGTGAGGGTGAGGGCAGTCTCCAGTGTGAGGGGGACCTGCATTTAGATGCCCCTCTGTCTGCCATTCACAGGCTGTGACACATCAGGCAGATGCACAGTCTGGCTCCCTTTGGGGAGAGGAGCTGTCCCCAGAGCTGGCAGAGAGCGCCTGTTCGCTGGGTGGCCGGTTGCCTGCTATCCACGCGGTCCTGGTGGGACCCCCCTGAGCTGAAGCCTGCTCTCCTGGTGTGTAGGGCTTGGCCTCTGCCTCCCCTCCGGAAGCAGCACCAGAGCTGTGGGACTGCCAGCTGCTCTCAGGGTTGGGGCCGTTGGGTTTGTTTAGGGGGATGGTCTTTTCAAGTCACAACCCACACCCTTATTTCTGGGTAATCTCCAGGCAATTCCCCCACCCAGGGTGGAGCAGGGCTCAGCCTGGCCGGCCACCTAGAGACAAATTGTTGGGACCAGAGGGTGGGTCCAGTACCTAGCTCTCCTAAGAACAGGTAGCATTCTTTCTAAACCTGGAGCCCCAGAGCAGAAACTGGGGCTTGTAAAATCTGGTTTAGGGCAGTGAAGGATCAAGGCCAGAGTCCACAGCCTGAAGGTCTGGCCTGCCCTGCCTTACCCAGCCGGCCCCACCTGCCACCTTCCTCTGTCTGCCTCCTTCCCATGCTCTGCCTGGGCCAGCCCACACTGGCCCTCGGCGCTGCTCAGATGCTCTCCTTCGGGGAACCTCCAGCACATCTGGGTCTTTGCTAAATGCTCAACTTGGACTGCCTCCTCTCTCTTCTGTCCAGGTCTTCCGGGTAGGGGCCGAGGACCAGGTGATGAGAGGTCTTGGAAATGGGCTATTTCTAGAGCCCTAGGAGAGCCCCCTTCGGGGACTGGGCTGGAAGGCAGGAAGTATCTGTGGATCCGCTCCAAGCCGCACGTGTTGGGCACCTGCCCACATTGTCTCGTTTAGTCCTCACAGTGACCTTGTGAGGTTGACATTCTCATGCTCATTAACACCACACAGTAACCATGCTAACTTCCAGAAGAGAGAGCTAAGATCTAGAAAGGTTATGTGGCTTTGCTGAGGGTCACACTGTTGAGGAGGGCGGCCCTCAGTCTTTCCCCGGTGTCCCTGCACGCAGGTGCCTCCCGAGAGTGGGAAGAGAGTGAGAGAGGAAGGGAACCAGCCCTGACCCACTGTGTTTTTGTGGGTGGTTTCCTCTCATGTCCATGAAGATGGCTGGGCACCCACAGGCCCAGGTCCAGTATGAACCGGAGTTAGGATGGCAGGGATAACCCCAGCCCTGGGATTCTTTGTGGGTCCATTGTCTTCATGCTCCCCTGAAGGGAGGAGGCTTTTGGCCCATGGCTGGGCCGGCCTCCTCCTCTCCTGCCCTTTCTGCCTCAGTCCACTAAGCTTCCGCCGTCAGCAGGTTCAGGGCTGCGGTTCCTCCCGGCAGTGGGCAGGGGCTGCCTGGGGGCTGTATGTGCCCCAGCTGTGCTGCCTCCCTCAGCTGGCGGCTCCCTCACGTCCCACTCTTGGCAGAAGAGGAGCCTCCCTAGCCGTGTGGGAGCTGCAGGGACCTGGGGAGTTGGGAGGTGGTGTTAGGATCGCAGTGCTTGTTTATCTGCCACCCCAGGGTCCTCCCCTCTGGCTCCTCCAGGGCCAGCCCAGGGTAGGGGAGCCTGAGGCAGGAGTGGCACATGGGCTTCCATCCCTTGGCGGTGGGCTGGGGGGGAGGCTGGTCTGCAAAACCAGGCTTTCCTTGGAAGCCAGTCCACAGTGCCTACTGTGTGCCCAGCTCTCTGCTAGACACTGACAGGGCAGAGAAAGCTAGGAGAGGCCTCCCTCTGGCCTGGGGCAGCTTCTGGCCTCACCCACTTTGGAGGAGGAAATAGAAGGAGAGAGTTTTTCATCTTTGCTGTGCATGATGCAGGGTCCACACTGATGGAGAGCAGGGAGGGAAGGCAGCATGAGGGCAGGGGAGCTACACAAGGCCTCTATATGGATAAAGGGCCCTCGGACTGGATTCTAAAGGATTGGGGTTTGGGGCGGACCGAGAAAAACAGTGAGAACATTCTTGGTGGCAACAGCATGAGTAAGCGTGTAGCTTTGGAAACAAATGTGACAGTGTAGGGACCTGCGGGGAGACTGATGGCCCCCAGGCACACAGCGGGATGTGTGTGTTTGTAAAGGAGGGGGGAGTAACATCATGCCAGTTTAGCCTCTGGGGCGAGCCCGATTCTTGAATCCCAGGCCTGAGCTCTGATCTGTCCTGCTGCTCTGCTTCTCTCCCTCCTTCCTAGTGGTTCCGGCTTTGGCTCTGATCTTGAGCTGGAACTCAGGCTCAGCCCTGGAGCCTGCCTGGTGTAAGGCTCCCTCATTCCTCATTCTCCCTGCCAGCCCTCCGCCTCACCAGGCCCTGGCCCTCCCTTGTCTTCCAGGGGCCTGGAAAAGGATGGCAGCCTCGGCGACGGCCTCACACTGAAGAAGCAGAGTGGCATGCACTTGACCCTCCCTGATGCACACGACGCAGACTCCGGTAAGAATGTACCTTGTGAGCAGTCATCTGTGTGAGCCCACAGTGCCCTCCCCTCACCCGACCAAACCCACCCTGCCTCTGGCCGGCTGCTGTCTAAGGGCCTGTTTAGCACAGGCCTTAGGCATCTTTAGGGCTGATCTTGGCGGGACAGCTGCTGGCCCTGGGGCAGGAAGTGGGCAGCTGGAGGAGGCAAGGGAGGGACCCCACCCCCTGTGTAGGGGGTGAAGAGAATGCGGAGATGGGGGTGGACAGATGGCTGTGGAGCCCAGAAACCGTTTCCCCTTAGGCTAAAAGCTCAAGGCCAAGGTCTGCTATGATAATGTCCTTAGTAGATCAAGTGGAAAGGAATGGGCTGAGCTTATATTTACAGCTCTAAGCCGGAAGGTGACTGTTGTTTCCTGGAAAAACTCATCCTAACATCCATGTCTTGTGAAATTCAAAACACGTTCCAGATCTGCAAACTTACGTGTTTTAACCGAGGACCTGATTAAAGGGGATACCTTCCTCAGAAACAAAGCAGGAGAATTAGTCACGGGAGTGGAAGCAGGAGGGAGTTGTGTTTGGAAGCATTGCTCATCTTTTCCATTTCGGTGGCTGCGATCCAAGTTGCGTCTTCGTTGTCAAGTGATGGAGCTGCTTTCCAAAGCCCGGCCCAGCACCTGCCTTGAGAGGCACGTCTGAGGAGCGCCAGGCCGGACACGGAGCTGCTGACTCTGAGGACGCGATGGTGACAGAGGGCGAAGTGCCCTTGCAGTTAGAGAGGGAAGAAACCGGACGGAGTTATCAGGACTCCACATACGCTCACCTTATAAACTGAAATCATCTGTGTTTTGCCCCGAGGACTCCTGAGTTTATTGGAGCCGTTACTGCCTCAGAGAGAGAAGTGCTCGCGTTTCACCTGCATGTGGATTGTAAATGTCAACGGCTTTTATATCCTGAACAGGGACCCATGTCATTCAACTGCCATGAGGAGAAATTCTCCAGGGGGCACAGGATCTGGCCTGAGCTGCTCCCTAAAGATCCTTCTCAGCCCAACCTCAAATGGGACCTTCCTTTAAAGAAGTAACGTACACTTGTGAAAACAGACAGTAACCATAGAAGAGGAAGAAAGGAAAAGCCGTCCATCACTTCACCACCCAGATAAATGGCCTTCAGACTTTCAGAAACATGCTCATATTTTCTTTTTTATAAAAATGTGATCATACCCTTTTGCAATCTGTTTTTTTCCACTGAACTGTACAATGTCAGCATCTTTCTGCATCGATACCCCTATTTATATGTTATTATTTTAAGACTACATAGTCTTAAATGATTACACTCTCTTATTTTTAATCAGTCCCAGTTGGTGGACATTCAGGTCATTTCTGTTTTCAGTATCACAGGCAGTGATAGAATGCTCACTGTTGCCAACATTCAAGGTTTTTTCCTTAGTGATTGACTCCCAGAAGTGGACTCACAGCCTTATTGCCCTTCAGAAAGCTCCTCTCCCAGAAAGCATGGGTATGGGGTGGCTGCTTCCAGCTCTGCGGCTCAGCCCCTCCCTACTTGCTCTGCAGGCTCTCGGCGGGCATCGTCCATTGCAGCGTCCCGGTTGGAGGAAGCCATGTCAGAGCTGACCGTGCCCAGCTCGGTCCTGAAGCAGGGCCCCATGCAGCTGTGGACCACGCTGGAACAGATCTGGCTCCAGGCTGGTGAGTGTCCCTGGCTCCCGTGAAACCCACCTGCCTGCATGCCGCTAGGTTTTTGGAGCTGTGTCCTGTCTTGTGGAAAGGAGTGTGGGGCTGGGGGGACCCATGGGAAAGATCACACAGGCTGCAGTACTCGTGGAAAGGCCTGGGAATCAGGAACCAGGAGCTCTAATTCCAGCTATTTCTTCTTTGCTTGGCCGGAGTAAATCACTGAATCTGTCATTTGGCGGGTTTCCTTTTCACTAAATGGTGATAGTGCGTGCCTCCCTGGGAAAGGTTCTCTCGTGGCAAATACAAGTGTAAGGGGACTTGAGGGAAGGTTGCACAGACATAGTCTTAGTCTCAGAAACAGGCTGCATCCTTCCTCCTTGCCTACCTTCTCCTGAGTAGAAGTAGTTATAGGACTCAAATCCCAAGAGCTCATGGGATAGCAAGAGAAGAAGCAATGTGCTGGTCCCCAAGAAAGTGAGGTCTGGTGGTCGAGTTCATTGAAAGCAGAGGGCTGGTAATAATGGGTCACCATTCAGGTAACAATCTCTCTTGTTGGCTAATCGGCACCATTGCCACGGTGGAGTTTGAGCATGTTAGTGTCGGGGAGGCAGGCAGCTTTACAGTCACACGGCTCACTTCCTGCCTGTCCTGATCTAAATGAGCTAGTGCATATCAAGCAGTCAGCACTTAGCAGGTACTTGGCCAGTGGTGCTGGGCTTCTGTCCTGCCCACTGCAGTGGTGGTGACAGTGACAGCAAAGGCAGAGGGGTACCAACTGCAGTGAGGGTCCTCGGTGCTCGGCTAAGGGATGCTGAGGAGTGACCCCCAGAAGTGATGGAAAAGTTTAATCCAGTGGTGGTGTGAGAGCCAGATTAGAGTGAAAAGAGAGAATCAAGGCAGAGATGTGCCTGAATGAGATAAAATGGCGGCAGCAGCAGGAGAAAGAGAAAGATGATAGGATAAGGGAAATCCTAAAAATGCTCCAGGCCAACATGCCCCCTTGCTCCTCACCTTTTTTCTGATTACCCTCCTCTCTGCCCCCTCTCCACCAAGTAGGTGGTGCCAAGAATCCCCAAGAGGAGATGGAGAAGAGACTGAGATAGATATTCCATTCCTGAGACCTATGGATTTTTCAAGTCAGAGTTAGAATTGCTTGTGACTGAGAATCTAAAGGTTCCCTGCTGCATGGATTTCACATATGGACACATTAGTATGCAGTACGCCCCCACTCTCCCCTCCACAGGTTCTAAATCTAGGGGGAAAAAAATTGGACCAGGATCCACAGAAAGACTAGACTGGGAAGCATGTTAATAATGCAGACACTGCCCCAGTTAGCATATCAGGCTCCCTTAGGAGGCTAGGATGTGTGGGGGCTGTGTTTCACGGTCAGCTTGTTGCTTCTGAAGTAGGAAGAGGAATGTTGAAAAATCCAGAGGGATAACAAACAAGGCCTCCTCTTAGGCAAAGATGCTTCTGTCTCCTTCCAAGACATGCAGCTGGAACAGCTCTCAGTGGGCACACTGGGCCCCCCCCACCACGGGCCTGGGATGCTGCCCCCACACCGGGGGGGTTGGCCAGCTTCAGGGAATGGATCAGTGTGAGTGATTGGTTTCAGAATTGTATGTTGCCTACTCTGGAGCTCCCAAGACCTTTCGTTTTAATGATTTGCCGTGTTTACTGCTCTCAGCAGATGACAGGGTTTCTGTGTTTCACAAGGCTGCTTGCTTTCTCAGAGATGCTGCTGGATGCTGGGGATGCTAGTATGTTCTGGTGACTCCACGTAAGGTTAAAGGCCTTCCTGAAGCCCATAATTAGACTTGGGAATTTCAGTATAAACACGCCCTTCAATAATTTGCACATTAACCTCTCTTCTCTGGACATTATCCTGGATGTTTAGCCCACACAGAACTCTGAGAACAAATCCAAATGCTTGGGACATGGTGCCAGGGAACGGTTGGGCAATGTGGCATTAGGAGACAGGTTTGGCGGGGGGTGACTAATCCAAAATAGCAGTGGCTTCTAAAGGTAAATACTTCTTTTTTCTCCTGTAATAATTCAGAGATGGCAGCCTTGGCTGGGATGATGGCACTGCTCTCCTGGTCTGGAGACCCAGGTTCCTTCTGTTTTGCTGGCTCTGATCTCACTTGGGTGTCACTCTTGTCCTTGTGATCCAAGGTGGCCCTCCACCACACTCACATTCCAAGGCACAGCTGGGAAGAGTGGGAGAAGGGGACACCCCCTCCCTAGAAGGACATGTCCTGGAATTTGCATACATCACTTCCCCTCATGATTCATTGGCCAGAACTTAGTCACATGACCACACCCAGCTGCAAAGGACTCTGGGAAATGTCATTATTCTGGGTGTCCATATGCCCTGTTAAAAGTTAGGGTATCTGTCATTACAGAAGGAAGGAGGGATCAACTGGTGAACAGTTGCCACAGCCAGAAAGGGAAGCCAAAAGGTGTCCTAGGTCTTTGGTTCTGAGCGTGGAAGGATTCTGGAGAATCTCACTCCTTGAGCCCTCTCCCAGCCCCTAGCGACCACCATCACCAGCACACATGTGCTGAGCACCATTGAATGAAGGTCTACCTGGAGCAGATGACCAAGGCAGTAACTTCTCCCTAAGCCCCCACCCACTGCCTGGCCCAGGCTGAGTATTGTCATCAGCACTCCCCATGCCCACCCACCCCGCCTGATGATTCCACCAGCTGCAGCAAATTTCCAGGAAGGGAAAACTGTCCCCCTTTATCATTTTGGAATGCGCTCACCCCCCTGGTTTAGTTTAAGATAAATCGCATCCCAGTCTGTTTTGGCAGTTAAGTTCCATCATTAACCCACTCTCAGGTTGGGAAATGTCGTATCGGTCCTCTCCCAGCCCTCGTCCTCCTCCCTCCCTCTTCAAGCCTCCTTCTCATTCCAGTCTGATGTGAGAAGCAGCGTCACAGAGGGTTTCCAGAGACGAGTTTCAAAAATGTTACTTCTTTGGCAGTGGGTCCGTGTGAAAATGGGAGAGGCCCCCAGCCCCATAGATGCTCCAGGATCCTGAGTGTCAAGAGGTACTTTAAAGAGCAGGATGGCCCACCCTCCCCTCTCACTGCAGCTCACGTCTCTGGGAGCTGAGGGAGATGATGTCGGGAGAGTTCCCCTGCACTCTTGGTCCTGGAGTGAATCCCGAATGGCAGATTCACATGGGCTGGGCCCTGGCGTTTTAGGTGGCCCTAGAGGCAGAATCTACCCCTGCTGTCTGCTGGGCAGCCTGGGGACCTGGGTTGTGTTTAAGGAGCATATTTATTATAAGATTATAGTCAAGGCAGAAGTTATGTCTGACCCTGGGTCCCACGTGCTCCTCTGACTTAATGGATTTCCCTCATTCCTCCTCATTTCTTCCGTTATCTTCCTCCCTTCTCTCCCGGCCCCCCGCCCTTCTCCCTCTGGCCTTCTGTGCCTGCTTCCCACGTCCTCACCTCCCTTGCTCCTGCTTTCCCTGCTTCCCTGCTCTCTGCCCGTCACCCCCTCCTCACTCCCAGGACAGGAAATTGGGAGCCCAGGCCCCTACAGCCTTGATGCCCACGTGGCCTGAAGCAAACAGTGCTCTGGTTGGGTCCCAGGGGTGGAGGCTCTCAGAGCAACCCAAAAAGTCCCTTCAGACCTTTGGATTCTCTGTGTTTCTCTCCTGGTCATTCTCCCTTCCACTCCACCCCACCCCACCCCTCTGTCATTCCTCCCCCACCCTCCTCCACCCTTCCTTCTCCTTTATTCTGGGCCTCCTTATGTCCTGAGGGTTTGTTCCATGGGCAAGTGCTGTTTCCTTTAGGGGAAAGTTTAGGGGCTCAAGATGGATTCTTTTGAAGGCCTAACCTCTCCTGTCCTGAGGGGCTTCTGTCCTTTTAGCTTCAGTGACCCCCTCCTTTCTGGGGTTTCAGGGCTTCTAGGAAGCACAGCTCACCTGGGGAGGCTCCCAAGAGGCCATTGGTGTGGCCTGGGCCCTCCCTCACCTTGCTTCTCAACCCAGGAATGAGCCGATCAAGGACCTCCTCCCTGTAAAGAGGGCTCAGCGTTGGCAAGGTTGGCAGAAAGGATAGAGCCAGCTCTGGGTGCAGGGTTAGATCAGGATGCCTCAGAAAAAAATAATAAGAGAGACTGTTGCAAAGCTCCAGGGAACAGATGTTTTCCATTTGGAGCATGCTGAGAGAGAGCATGGAGGGGGCGGGTGGAGATGGAGGGAAGAAAGAGAAAAACCGAGAGAGACCAGAGAGGAGGTCGGGAGCAAGCAGAGCAAAAGACGAGAGAAGTGGGAAATCAGAAAGGAGGGAGAGGGAAGGAACTGGGGATCAGAAGGGGCCTCTGACACTGAGGGCCACAAAGCCCCTGTTTGCTGGAGTGAGGACTAGACCATGAGAATTCAAGGAAAATCCAGTAACAGTGATTGCTCCTCTAGCCCTGGCCAAGGGAGTCCGGGATGGGTGTGGGCACCTCGGGGCCCTGGCAGCCAGGGCTGGGAGGTGGAGGATCGGGCAGTGGGCGGGCACAGTGCCATGCCGCTCCTGCTGCAGCCCAGGCCAGCTGTCTGGGGAGCACCATGTTTGGTAAAACAACTGTTCAGGGACACTAAGGCTAGGAAGAAGGGGTGCATTGCAGCCCCCCCAGATGTGTGAGGCTGTGTGCAGGTTAGGGGCCCCATTCTGGAGGCTGGGCCTGCCAGGGGCTGTCTGCACGGTGGCCAGGAGACCTCAGGAGACCTCACTTCTCTGGCTCTGTTCTGTGTCATCTGGTTTCCTGCCTAACTGGTAATGAAGTCCATCGGAGCAAAGCAGCCCTACCTATTTTTCAGGCATGTTCTCTGGTGTGTGGCCAGGACAGGGCCCAGGGCCCTGAGGAAGGTGGGGGCTGGAGATCCCTGTAATTGAAATCTGTTGATGTGAAGGCACTCTGAGAAGTTCCCAAGGGAGGGACCAGGGACAGCCTCCAGAGATGGGGCTTGGGAGAGAGGGCAGCAAGTTGTAAACAGCTTAATGAGCTGTGCCAGGACCCGGTGGGCTGGTGGGCCAGGCCTGAGGCGGGCCTGCTGGGGCAAGGTCTAGGGGAGTGGACAGCCTTGCCTCTGAGCTGAGCTCCTGGCGATGGAGGAAGCAGCCACAGGGCTGGTGCAGGACAGGCCTCCCCACCCCCAACACACACCACACACTTCCTTCTTTCGGCTTCTGCCTTCTCCTCCAGGACCCTGAAAGTTCTGCCACCGTGGGGCCCAGCCCTTTGGGTCGGCACAACCTCCCTTCTCTCTGCAAGTCCAAGTGCCTCTATGCCTTCAGGCCCCAGCTCAAATGCCACTTCCCCCAGGAAGACTTCCCTGACCACACCGGCACAGCTGACCTGACCCCCACCTGGGTGCACGGAACACTCAGCGCTGGCACTTGTCATTCCACTGCCCTGGGTCCCTCCAGTGGTTTGATGGCTCAGCTGCTCCACTCCCCCACCTCTGATCTTTCTCCCTCTCCAGGGAGGGCCAGGCACACAGTACTCAGCAGCTGGACATGGTGCACTCAGGTATGAAGACCGCCTGCTGGGAGCCCCAGGTGGCAGCTCTAGAAAGGGGCATAACAGCAGAGCAGAGAGCTCAGGCTGAGACAGCCAAGCCCCTGACCCACCTTGCCTGCAAGGCCCTGGGTTCAGAGCCCACCCCTCCTGGCCTGGCCTTCCTGAACTTTCCGCCTTGGGAGTCTCCATTTCAGGCTGTCTCCAAGGACAAGAGCCTGTGTTTTCTCTCTTTCACCTTATCATGGGAGCCTGGCTCCTCTGTGTTCAATTAATTCTCTGATTCTCCCCAGTTCTCCTCTCCAGTAGAGAGTGCCCGTCTCAGAAAGCCGTCGGCAGTATTTTAGAATGTGGTGAGCTACTTTGCTTACACAGTGGACCTTAGGTAATGTCTGTGCCGAGTACCCCAGTGCTGTGTGCTACAGTCAAGGCCTTCCTGAGGTCTCCTCCCTGCTTCTTGATGGAACAAGATGGGGTGCCTGGGTTCGCCACCTCTTTCTGGGCGCTTCCTTTGGGAAGTCTGTTATCCACGCTCTACCCTAGACCTAATCTGAACTAGTGGAACCTCAGCTCTCGGCAAAGTCACCAGCCAGGCTCTGCTCACCCTTTGTGTCCCCTCCCACCTGTGTGGTACACCAGCCCCAGAAGGGGCAGCCAAGCTGAGGGCTGGGTGGGCTGCACGGCCCCTCGAGGAGCCGCGTTTCTGAAGGTGCCTACGGCAGGTGGGTACCTGCGCGGTGTGGGTTTGAATGTGTGTTTGTGTGGGCTGGCCCAGGGGTGGAGAAACTGCCACATTTTGTACTGATCTAGGGGAGGAAGGCAAACTGGTTGTGGGGCAAATCTTTCCTGCCTGTTGGAGGAAAGGCGTGTGCGTCCCCTATTCTCCTACATGCAGCAGACAGTCCAGGGTTTGGAGAGAGGCTAGGAGCTGCTGGGGAGCCCCTTCCACTGCGGGACTAGGATGAGGGCCTCCCTCTCTCAGCCTGGTGTGTTAGCCTGGGGTACATGAGGGTACCTGCTTCCCTCCCAGACACATGTGGAATAAATGAGAGAAGATGTTTCCGGTAAGTGCAGGCGGTTTTGTAGTTGTTACCAATACTCCTTGGTGTGAACCCTGCCCATTCGCAGGCACCCCCTAGGCCTCCTTCCTCCTCATCCCCCCACCTGTCCCTGGCAGCATCACCTGGCTCCCCTCTTCCTGATCACGCGGGTGGAGTTAGCTGTTTGGTCTGCTGCCCTTCCTGGAGAACCATGTCTGTGTCCAGTTCGCTGTCCCCAGACACATGGTGAACAAATGGAGTGACAGGACACTGGAAAAAGTCAGTCACCTGAGTAAATGCTTAGCCGCAGGAGGACCCCCCCACCCCACCCATGTCCCCACGGCCAGGCTCTGAGGTCAGACAGCCCAGTACAAACCTGGCTCCGTCACTTCCTCTCCCCGTGGCCTTAGGCGAGTTCCTTATCCTCTCTGTGCCAGTTTCCTCCTCTCTGAAGTGGGTGATAGAAGTGCTTGCTCTGTGGGGTTTTGTGAGTGTTGGCTGAGATGGTCTGTGTGGAGCACGTAGCAAAGGGCCTGACACAGAGCGAGCGCTCTGAAACTATCGCTTGGTTTCTCAGACCTCACCCCAGAGCAAGCCCATCCTGGGCTATGACTCAGTGGGATGGTTTCCATCACCCAAGACGAGTTCCTGAACTCTGGGGGCTGGCGGTTGTTCGCGGGAGGGGGCCACTGCCTCTGACTTCTCCCACCACCTCCCCTGCCTTTCTGGTCTTGCAGCCGAGCTGTTCATTGAGCAGCAACACCTCAAGGAAGCGGGCTTCTGCATCCAGGAGGCGGCAGGCCTCTTCCCCACCTCGCACTCGGTACTCTACATGCGGGGCCGGCTGGCCGAGATGAAGGGCAGCTTGGAGGAGGCCAAGCAGCTGTACAAGGAGGCGCTCACAGTGAACCCCGACGGCGTGCGCATCATGCACAGCCTGGTGAGTCAGCCCCGCACCCCCTCAAATGCCCTGCAGCCACTGTTCCTTGGTGTCTTGGGGGAGGTGGCTTCCTCCCTGCTCTACTATCTTTCTTATAGAGGCAGACCGTTCCCCTTCAGAGACTGTCTACGTTGATGAAAAAATCTAGGATTGGCTGACACCTTTTGCCGTGTTTCTGTAAGGCCGTCTAGCCCTAGAGGTTGTTTGGAAACGCTAGACAAATACCAAAATGCCTTTTCTGGGGAGGCCTCCAGGCCCTCTCTAGTCACTGGGCTGCCTCCCCCATTTCAGAGGAGCTCCATGCCTCATTGTGGGATTCAGGTGGTATCCTGGAACACGCTGTCATGTCAGGCCCAACTTGAGCACCCTTTGAGAATGGCTTCGAGGGTGCCAATAGGGGCTGGCAGCCCCTAATCCTAGGACGTGGAGCCCAGGACTTGGGTGCCCAGGGCTCAATGACTCTCCTGTGGGAAGGTTTGGAGGCTGGGGGCAGGATATTGGTGCTCTGGTCTTGGCTTTGCCATTCTCTTCCTGGGTGATCATGGGCAGGTCAGCCCCTTCTCAGAACCTCAGTTTTACTTCCCTGTGCAGTGGGCATTCTCTGGTCCAGGGAACACCTCTCTGACAGGTGATATAGTAGACCCAAGGTTTTTCTCTGCCTTCCTTAGCTGCTTTCAGAGAGGAGATACCAGGATAGGTGTAATGATCTGAAAGCGTACAGGCCTGCATTCGCACAGTGATTTCTGAGGTATCATTTAGGAGCCCACAGCGACACAGTCCTCTCCTGTTGCAGTCTAGTTTCCACATCAGATGTCCCACTGTGAGAGCTCTTTGAGGAGAACTGTCACGAGGGCATCACTGATGTCTGCCACATGGAGAACACAGAAGCATCCGGACAATGGCTCAGATGGCTGAAGGGTTGTCGTTGTCGAAAGGGGTCTGATTTGTTTAGGAGTAGAAGCTAAGAAGAGTTGGACGTCAACTCAGTATCAGGAAAAATGGTTTAACTCGTAGCATAGTCCAGGCACAAACTCAGGAATCACCTGGTGAGGATGTCGCCCGAAGAATGTAAATATCACGTGGGAGAGGAGCTCAACCAGGTCATCTTTACAAGGTCCCTGCTGACCCCGAAAGTCCTTAAAAACAGGCCAGAACAGAGATTCCCTTTTCAGCCCTTATTCCCACTGCCCAACTTCTTAAAGGATTTCTGGCTCAGGCCCACGTGAGCGAGTGGTCAGAGTCAGGGAGAGGAAGCCCGCTCAGTGGCATCACACCTCGGCCCAGGTTCCCCTCCGCGTGGCTCCTGTTGCCTTCCAGTCTGCTCAGCAAATGTTTGGTTTTTGCAAGCCTCATCCTCCTTCCTCCTGCATTTCAGACATTAGCTTCTCTGATAAATGCCTCCCGGGAGGTCACATCCAGAAACTTGATTAGGGAGCTGGTGACCTCCTGCATTTCAGACATTAGCTCCTCTGATCAATGCCTCCCGGGAGGTCACATCCAGAAACTTGATTAGGGAGCTGGTGAGGAGGATGTGGGCTCTGTCTTCAGGCCTGCAGCCAGGCAGACGGCAGTTTCCTGCCATGCTCGCGAACTTGAGCCTGCCGTCTCAGTGCCGAAAACTTGACCAAATCCAATAACGAGTACAATTTTGAAGCAGCAGTGTACCGTTTTTCATTTATGCTTATTGTTTGTAGGTATTTTCTTGAAATTGAAGCAGTTTCCAAGGGTGGGTTTCCATGGTAACTGAATAGCTGTCCAGAGTGGCTCCCTACAGCTGTTTCTGAAGTGGTCCCTCTTCTCTTCCCGGGGTGCCTTGCTGATTTGATGCAATTGGAGCAAGGACTGCCCACTGTTAAAGTGACAAGCAGCCAGAGGGGCCAGTCGGCTCCAACGTGGGCAGTCCAGCCCCTTCTCACCCTCTCTTCCTGCCAGCATCCCACACATATGCATAAAGAATAGCACATTGCAGGCCTGGGGAAGATTTTCTAAGCACTCTTTTCCCAAAGACAGGCAAACACTTTGGTGTGCTGATCTCCAGCGTTCCCTGATCTACGCGTCTTCCCTGTACTGGCCTTAGATTCAGGACATCTGGGACCTAACCCTGGCCCTGGAATTCACTTGGGTGATGTAGGAAAAGATATGCTTGACTTTCATGCTTCTGATGTCTCCATTTGTAAATGAATAATACTCTCTGTATTCCTCGACCAGCATTGTTCTAATCAAATGAGGTGATGCACGTGAAAGTGCTTCTAAAAGCCTGCAGTGCAATATCAGAGAAAGCAAAACACAGCACATGCGCTACCATGCCCCATGCTTTAGTCCCTCACCGGTGACAGGCATCACTAATCAGCACTTTTTCCCACCAAGCACAGATGGGACTTTAGGATCTTTTTCGCTGTGGTACTACGTGATGAGAGCTACTCTACCCATTGGTCTAAGCTTGCACTTCTGTAAGGGATTCATTGTAAAAATAGTAGAGAATCAGAGAGAGAGACATAGCAGTTGTCTCAGCTTTGTGAACTCCAGAGGTTGGTGCATCCTTGAAGAATTATCCAGAGCAAGGAATATGGAGGTGAACCGGTAACCCTCCCCACCTTGGAGTCATTGCCAAGGTAAGTTGCCAGGGAGGACATCCTGGTCTTACCACACCCTGTGGCCCTGTGAGGACATCAGCCTCTGATAGGTACGAGGAGAAGGGGACGCATGGCCACCCAAAGCCTGGGCTGGAAGAGCTCTAGGTCCCTCAGTGAGCCCTCTGATATGCTGGCTGAGTCCCGCTCTCTGAGGTCTGGGGAGAGGAGGGCAGAGCTAGACTCAGCTGGGTGGGTGCCACTTTCTGCCCTGCATTTCTCAGGGCGGGATGGTCAGATACCAGGAGGCTGGCCTTAGGGCCTCTCTGTGGCTGTGTACAGGAGATGGGACAGGAGATTTAGAGACCAGCTAGAGAAGAGCCTCTGGGAGGGAAGGCTGTTGCTTTCAGGACCCTGGTTCAGGCATCCAGGAACATGAACTTTGGCTCAGAAACATGTTTTCTGCTCTCCCTGCCCTGCTGCCCTCCTGGCCCTGGGTGTAGGGGGACATAGGTTCCAGCTCCACCCTGGGCTCAGCTCAGACTTTTCCATCCAGATCAGGCAGGAAAGAGACACCTCCTTAGCAGGGCTGTGCCAGCAAAGAGGCCCCACTGTGCACACAGCAGGGTCCCTCCAAGAGGATTCTGTGCTGTCAAGCTCTGGTCTCTCAGGCTGCCTCCTCCATCAGGCTCAGGGATGGCCAGGTGGCTTCAGGAGACTGCCAGGAGTGGAAAGAAAAAGGCATGTTCTCTGCCAATGGAAATGCCCAGTGAAAACCCAGGAGCAGGGCCTGATGGTCTCTGCCAGCTCAGTCTCCGGGTAGGTGGAAACCATACTTACTCAGCCTAGATGTTAAGAACTTAGTTTTCTGATAGAAGAATCTAGTTAAGAAGGGGAAACCTGAACTTTACCTGCCTGCCCCCGAGGAAACCTGAGAAAGGAAGCAGGGTCCTTCCCAAGATCAGCAGAGGAGTTGGCCCTCAGGTGACAGTGCTTTTCCGAGGCGGCTCCAGCAGCTTGGCTGAGAAGGGACCTCCAAGGGACCAGGTTTGCCTGGGGAAGGCAAGGAGCCCAGGATCGACTGATGGAGTCAAGTCACGGAGAGCCCTCCCAAGAAGGGGTTCCTTTGAGGTCACCTGACCTTGATGGTGGGAGGATCACACTAGCCCTGGCCATGACTGACTCACTCTCCCTGCTCTCTGCTGGGCTGAGTTGGGAGGGTGGGTGCTTTGGTGCAGCCTGTTTCACTGCAAGTGACAGCTTGAAAGCCTCAGCCAGGAGTAGGCAGGTGCGGCTACGTCCTTGCACCTGTGTCTGTGGGTGACGCCCCACCCTCCTCTCCCAAGAACAGATGCTGGGGGTAAAGTTTTCTGACCCCTCTCTGGCCAGGCTTCCCTGCTTCTCACTGGCCCCTGCCCCTGGTCTTGCTTTCTTCTTGAGACAGAACTCCGGGTTCCTACTGCCCCGTCTCCCCAGAATGCTTTCCTTCTCAGGCAGCAGTGGGGGTACTGCCTTGCGTGAGCTTAGGCTCCTGTGATGTGGTTCCCAGGGATGTGATTCCTAAAGCAGTCCTGGCCATGTGATCTGGCCTAGTCTCTCCAGATGCCCCTGGAAAGACAGTGTTTCTGTCATCCATTGCTCTCTGATGAGAGCTGGCGATGAACTATTCCCTTGTAATCTTTCCTTGCTTGCAGAGTAGCTGTTGCTAAGTGGGTTTGGGGATCAAAGGTATGGCCACCTGCAGATGGCTCCAGAGCCTCTTGCCTCCCTCTCTCCAGACTGGGGCATGCCACTCAAGTCCCCAGAGTCTTCCCACTACCCTCACTCTCCCTCCCCAGCTTGGACAGGGCTCTGCCCCATCCAGCCCTAAGGTTCTGGGTAGAGCCTTTTGCTCCAGGAATCCAACCAGAAGGCTCTGCTCTCTAAGGTCCAAGACGTGAACTCTGGCTGCACAGAGCTTCCCCCACCCTGCTTCCCTGACTGGCCCCATCCCCAGTCCTGGAGAGTGGGACAGACTGGAGAGGTGACTCACCTGAGACAGACAACCAGCCCTTGAGTTGTGGGGGCACTTGGAGATTACTTCCCTTCGCTGGTCAGTTTCTCTTTTATCAAATGGGGATAGTAATTCAGGCCTTTGTGACCTTAAGGGGTAATCTTAGGGCTCAGATGAGCTGGGAGTTGTGAAAAGATAAACCAACATTAGGTATTTTGGGTGTCCTTTGAGTAGCAGACGTGGTGGTGGGTAGCCTGAGCCCTACCTTTGACTGGGCAGCTTGACCTCACTGCTGTGGGGCGAGGGTCATGGGCCCAAATCTCCTTGTGCTGTTGGGTGGCCTATGGTGCCCGCACGGTGCTGAGAAAGCAGGAAGGGGGTGCTGGGCAGGGACTGGGGACCTCAGCTACCTTTGGGGTCGCCTTTGGCACTGGTTT